TAGGTGCAGGGTTTTTCACGGCGATTGTCTGAGGTCAAGATAGTTTTATTACACTTTACACTTTTCGTATTCTGCATCTTGATTCCAAAATGTTCAACATTTGAGGAAACTTTTTTATATGAAAATAATCCTTTATACAGGGAGGAACAATCGCATGTATGGTGCATGCCATTCATCATGCCTAAATTTTTTTTTTCGTAAACCATCACAGATAGCGATATTCATCAAGAGACAAAAAATGCTTGCAAGTAAACTGTCTATCAGTGTCTAAAACTTCAGAACTGTCAAAATAGTAGTTAAAAAGTTTTAGACCTCTTCAGATGTGGATGGTCAGTGTTTTATTACCACCTACATAGCAACTACAATCAAAACGATGATATCACAAAGACCCTTTTTACATTAGACATTCACATCCCGAATTTCATTTTAATCGGCAAAACCATTTTCCGATAAAATAAAAATAACGATTTTTTTAAAATCTTTGGCGGTAGATAGCGCCTTACCGAAGCACTTTTGGATAGAGGTAAGTTGGGTTAAATCGTCCTATTTTGATACCAAGAACCCATGGTAGCGCGTTGTACAGACCTTTTAGGGACACCCTGTATAGTCCAGTCAAACGGTAGTAGGGGGTTTATTTTATGTTTTTTGGTGTGCAGAACACCAATCTGAATGTGTACAATAAAAATGTTTCCCGCAACTATGAGAAATCATAAAAAAACCCTAAAAATAATGTTTTTAGTGGTTCCCACCTTATTTACGCAAAAAATTTAATATATAACGTAGAAAAGTACCTAAAATTTGTTGTACCTCGTATAGTTTTCATGCAAAGAAAGTGTTGAAATATGGCTAATTTTAATAAAGCTTGGCAAAACTTTTTACAATAAACTTGTAACGAATATAGCAAACGAGTTCCTGGATCATAAATTTAATTAGTCCTTTTTTGAGTGATGGTACACATAAAACTGACCAGAATTGTAAGATTCGAAACCGTTCGCGAGTTATTTGTAATCCCACACCCTAAATTGCTTTCACATTGAGATTGAGTTAGAACCGACACTGTAGCAAGTGCCTTAGGGGAACGTTGCAACCCCTATACCTCCACTCCGTACATAGGCCCTCTCTCACTATTGCATCGAGCACCTCCGCCCCCCTCCGCCTTAATTCTGTTATCTGTGCATTTGGCCCATTGTTTATTTGCGTTTGGAACCCTAAACATTTCATTTCCTTTACCTCTTCTACTCTATCCGCCCTTCATTTCCATTATATCTCCATTTTCCTTCGATCTACATTCCCAAATTTCATCATTTTCGACTTTCCTACATTTAGCTACGCTCCTTTCCTTTCCCAATGCCTTTTCATTCTTCCCGTCGTTTCCTTCACCTGTTATATCTCTGTTGCAATGATCACTGTGTATGCCAGAGACCATATCTCTCTTCGTCCCGCCAACTAACCCTCCACCTTGGCCCTGTCTTAATACTTTTTCCATGTCTCTTAAATAGGGAGCATCTCTGTCTTGGTCCAAAACACTTCAGACTCCTTCCTCTCTAACCCTCAACCCTGTCTTTCCATAATCTTCTTGAGTTTGTCCCAACTTCTTGTCAATTTTCCCATCTTCCATCATCTTCTATACACATTCCCTTTCCACTCGCGCTTTGTCCGTCTGACCGTTTGTACCAATGTCATCCACTTTAAACTGTTTCGTTGTAGTTTCTTTCTTATACGTTGTAGCAGAGCGCCGAGGCCAGAACGACAAAAGATTTTTTTTTAGTTACTTGCTTCCCGAGTTATTACTGATTCCGTGCGGGGAAAATGCACTTTCGTCGGTCAGTAACCACGTCTATACTATTGGTAGTTTCCAATTCCTTTTCCATCAATCTGTGTAATACGTATATACAGTCGATCGTTCCTCTCCCATTTCTGAAGCCCATTTGTGTTTCCTCCAACATCCTGTTCTCTTCCATTTCCGCTTATTCTATTTTTCTTTTCTCCCCTGTTTATCACCTTCCAAAAATCCTTTTCTGCTTTTATTTCTCTGATTTTCTCTTCGTATTCTTTCTGTTTCTCCATTGTTTTTCTTTACATTTTCTTTGTTACTTTTTTATCTTTTGTCTTTCTCTTCTTTTCCCCTCTTCTTTCTTTTTCAATCATTTCTCTATATCTATGTCTCTTCGCTACGCCACTCGTGCCACAAGATAGTAGTATTACAATAGGTCGCATTGTAACACTTGTCTTTCAATATACTATTCCGGCCCTTAAAAGCCCAAATTAAATCTTAAAACATACTTTTTTTTGTATTCTACGCGACCAAGTTAGTAAAGAAAAAGTGTTCAATTTCGAAAATTTAAATTTTCCCGATATTCGGCAAAGACTTGGGCGTTTCCTGCGAAAAAGTGAAAGTTCGGATATTTTTTCAGAATTGCGCAAAAATGATAGTTTATAGTCAATCGTTTTATAGTAATTTTTCCACAGGCCCTTCTTTCTTTAGGGCCCAAAAAAGTTAAAAAGAAACTGAAATGATCTTCCAAAAGCCTTAACTTTTTCAATTTGTAAAATCTCGACGCGTAGTTTATTAAGCTTGACAGAGGAGGGACGAGAGCATGAAGTATATCAGGCACCTGTGACTTACGGTTCCAGAGAAAAGCAACCTTAATTTTGAAGTAGGGTCAGGTGTCTCAAATTAGTATTATTTATATGATAAAATTCTAAGTTTCAATTTTGATTTGTTTTGAGCTAGTTGGGCAGGTGTTTCGTGAGAGGGTGTGGTAACCGCACGCCATTGCACACAGAAATATAAAATTCTCTATTTTAAATCAGATGTTAAATTGACATTAGGTTTAAATGAGTAGGCTAAGTTTCTCTTTAACAGTAAGAGTAGATACAATGTTTGTAAATTGAAACAAAAGGTTGTGCATTCTAATATCTGTCATACATATTAAATGTGGGACGCGGAGCACGAAATAAAATGAAGTTCAAAACAAAAATCAATATTTATTCTATGGAAACGACTACCCAAGCTTCCTGCGGAACTCGCGTGAAGGTTTCCGATTCAAGAAATACCCGAAACAAATGTTGTTTTTGGACTGAATTTTATTATACTAAGAAAATAATCTCTAAACTTAACCGCCACACAATCTCTGTTTACTAAAACTTCGAAATTTCCAAACCTATACCACCCTGTATAGTTTCTGTTATGAAGCTTATGGGACTACTAAAAATCACCGAAATTTTAGTCATAAAAATTCGAAAATTCCAACTTACAAGCTACCGTTAGTCGTTACACTAGTAATGTTGAATGATTAAAGATTTAACGATAAAAGAGATCGATTATTTAATTTTGATTAATGTAAAAAACGAGAATCTAAAGGAATAATGTACCTAGTCAAATTGCAAAATAACAATTAAGAGTTTGAAAACGAAGCAACCCTGATTATTTACACTTGAGGTGAAATATAGCATCATAACTCCAAATTAAATGCACCAACCCTTCTCAAACATAATCTAGATCAGTATTTTTAATAAACCTTCATTGATGTAAATTATATTGTTTCTTTCACCATTGCCTTCAAATACACTGAACAAAAGTATATGGGCACAAAGAGAATTCCGAAATAGGCAGCCAACGTATTCTCATCTTTCATCTGCATTGCAACAGGTTGATGACTAGCGTGTCTTTCTACATTAATGTCACCACTTTACATAAATAAATAAGTAATCGACGCATATTATGCAAGTATATCATCAAACTCTTTGGCCTACAGACTTTGTAAGAACAAAAGAATGACAACGAATGGGTAATAAAACACAGGCGTATGTGGGTGGATTCCACCATTTAAATAAATCACGATGTGTAGAATAAAAATGTGTTTTATTCTTATCTGTTACTAGTTGCGGTTTGTGTGTTTAATAATAACATGTGGGTGGTCCAATCGAAGATGATGCCTTCTTTCACCAAACCGTGTAATTTAACAGATTTACAAGTTTGTTTCGCTTGGACTTTTTTCACGCTCCCATATACCAATGGTATGCGGTGTAGAGAGTGCAAAATCGAGCCCCAAATTCCGTTACACTTTCTGGTAATTGAAAAACATTCACCTGTATTGTCACGATGAGTTTCAGTAAAATACACACGGACCAGACAATTACCTGATTAAATGAGTGTAACTCCACATAATTAGTTAGTATCATTTGCTTCAATAAAATGTCATTAATGTAGTGTTACTTTATGTGGTTCGATAACGAACGTGTTCTTTTATGGTTTGATAATGATCGCCACGCAGAAGTTATAGGTTCTTTAGTACCCTACGTATAGGTATCGGCCCAAAGCTTTCCATATTTGGCCAATAGTACCATTTTGTTTTGCTTTATTCGTATAAAGTTAAACGTTTTGTTAAATGAAATTATCCTTTTACGACAATGAACGTAATGATCCAAAAGTTCTTTGTCGTTTTCGAGATTCTCACGCCTAAATTATGTACTATACTATTAATATCACGGAATTTGGTAATATGCGCTTATCCATTATTTTATGAAGAAAATCAACATATAAAAAATCACTTCTCCATAACGAGGTTAACTAAGTTCGTGACCCAAAATTGGTAGGAAATAAGTACTTAGATTTTTAATTCATATGAGATTTGAAAAACTGTTTTATGTTTTAATCGCAAATAAAGTATAAACAAATTATTAATGCTAGGGCGCAATAAAAACGCTATAAAAAAATTTTCATTAATCATGTAAAAATCCATTTAAATAAAGGAAGTTGATATGCATGTCTACCATAATACTGGCACAATTTCTGAATTTGTCCCGAACTGAGAAACTTTCAAATTAAACTTATTTTTCGTAAGTGGGGGCCTTTTCAGTTTTTCTAAATTAAAGTTTCATCGGGCCCGGTATTTCAAATATTCTAAATGGAATGTTTTAGTCCGCACACAAAACTTAAAAACCTTTCCCATTTAACCTAATCGCTATGATCTAGTTACCAATGCAATTTTGCTCACCTGTTAATAATAAAATTCCTTCCCGAGGATTGCCAAAATCATTATAAGGGACCTGTAACAAATAAAACTGAAGATAAAAATAAAAAAGTCATTTACTTAAGACTAGAAATCGATTGTCAGTTTGATTATGGCCAGCGTAGTATCGTATCGTAAATGTACTAAGCGGCGGCAGAGCAAATGCAAGTGTTATAGAGGAGTCAATGATGTCCGTCTGTCTGCCTGACTGATTCGATTCAAACTTTCTTTCTGATGTTATTTGAAAAGGTACAAAAAAGTAAAAAAAAAAACAAAAGTTGGTTTCAACAGGATGGTGCACCCGCGCACAATGCCATATTCGTGCAAAAATACCTATCAAACAAATTTTCTGGGAAATGGAAAATATGTCCGATCGTATTTCCTTTGGTTTCAGAGATCCCCATGATAGACATCCCTATCTTGGACCCAATGTCTATTATTTCATTTCTAGATTATACGTAAAATTCTATATACATTCAATGTATAATGTCCTTAATGGCCAAACAAGACGTAGGAGCGTAGGAGTAGAACAGGGACAAAGTTTTCCAATTTACAAGTGCAATTAAATCGCGCGTCCAGTCAAACCATCAAGGAATAACAATTGATTTGTTATTTTTAAAGACTTTTCACACTACTGCGTGAAATGACACCTTTTCAGACTCTATTTCGATGTGAAAAGTAAGTGGATTTTAATAATAGTTACCTTTCGAAGACGCCAAGAATAATTAAGATTGCTCACAGAAAATTATTCAATCGAATTTGAGACATTAATGCGAGACGACGATAACGCTTAATTAGGATTATCGAAGTTTCCTTCATTTCAGAATCGCCTTCTTAATATTCCCAACTCTATTAGCACTTTAGTAAGTAATTAAACCAATTTTATCATCGCAGGATGCAGCATCTAATCCTAACCGAAATGAGTTAATTTGATTTAATAACAACTGGAACGTTCGTTTGGTGCCCATATAAATTAATTAATTGGACTCCATTCGATATTGTGCCTTTATTGTCGGTAATTAACGTTTTTCTAAGAAGTTTTCATTTGTTGGACCGACGCCTCGTATAATTTAACGACGTGTGAGTTATAGTTTTCGTCCAAATGGCCGGGTATTGACAAGGAAATCGAACGAAGAGGATGTATAGAGCATTAATTTCACTACACCTTAAGGTTACAAAATTTCTGACTATAAAACCACGTCGGTCGATAAGATAGAAATTTTAAATACTTAAACCGACAGGAAATTCAAATAAAACGGATAAGAGTATATTTACAAAAAACGTTAAGAGGTTAATAACTAACAATTCCTGTCGTTGTTTTATGGCGATTACTACCAAAAGTGTGAACTTTAATGGGGATTGGAACTAAGCAGATCAACGAGAATACTCGTTTACTTTCTGACATCATTGTTGAGATGTTCCGTACCATAAATCTAATAAAAAGTAACTTTCTATACAAATTGTTGAGTGTTGTGAATACGATCACCAAAAGTGAAACAAGATTGATCTCTTGTATTGAAATAAGAGCTAAATTGAAGAAAACAGCGTAAACGCCCACATCTACGTATACCCTCTAGTACTGCATTGAACGAAATCTAAAAGGAAGCAGTCGAGAACTATGGAAAAAATAAGAATCTTACACATCACTCCAAAGATCAAAAAAGTAGTACTCATTTAGTAAATTATAGCAATTAAGCCGGTTTAGATTATCAACCTGTGCCATAAGGAATTACATACACCACTGACCCATGAATTTAGAAATACGAGTGGAACTCCAATTGCAAACACCAGCAAATACATTGTAGGTATATCTTCCTCACTACCATTATCTTGTGCAACCTTACTACCTTTATAACAAAATTCCTTTATATGCTTTATAGTCTCACATAGTAGACAATGAAATTTGATAGGAAATGTATCTGCACAAATTCAAATGTTGCAAGTTGTTTAGTTGCAATCAGAAACTTTCATTTCGTAACTTCAAATTTCCGTTCATATTGGCTCACAATTTATTCAAAGTAGTAATTAAAAAATACGTCCACTTTTTAAAAAATAACATTATAATACTATGTTAGATTACAATCATATAAACTGTAACATTTTGAACTTCTAACAGCACAATCTTTTGGAACTGTTTGAAGTTATAGATTCTACAGGCCACATTTCTATAAGAAAATTTTTTTTCCGGTTTGGATTCTGGACATTTTTTTTCGAGCAAAAAAAGGCAGTGTATAATACCTTCCTTTTTTACCAAAATTCGAACGTACACCAAATTTTCGAGAAAACAACATTTTTCGTTATTAATTTTGGTGCGTAGATCCAAAATTGTACTTTTTTGCGATTAATTCTCAATCAAAAGTTGATAGACTAGAAACCCAATTTTGTAGAAAAATGCAAAAGGCTGTAACTTTTTGATCTAACAGCCCAATCTTGAGAACTGTTTGAAATTCATGGTTTCATACAGAGGGCACATCAATCCTATAAGAAGAATGTTTTTTTCCGGTCGATCTGAGAACATTTTTTTTTCGATGGCAAAACAAAGGCCGTGTATAACTTCCTGTTTTTTACCAAAATACGGACTAGCCAAAATTCTCGGGAAACACTTTTTCGTATTAATTTGGTGCCGTAGAATCCAAAAACATACGTACTTTTTCGATTGACTTCTCAATCAAAGTTATAGAACTAGAAAGCAATTTCGAAAGAATTCAAAGGGCTGTAAGTAGTATGTAATCCGCCGGTTCTGGACCAGATTTTGGGCACGACAAAAATTTTTACTTTTCTTCAAATATTCACTATATTTTAATCATTTAATTCAAAAACTAGTAATTTTACCCCATTATTACATGAATTTCATCAATCCGATCACAACGATAATTATACATATATTCTGGATCACCTCCGTTCACAAAAAAACCCTCCTTTAAATATATATAAAAATTTCAAAAATCCTTCACCATTTTCATGCAGGATTTATTTAAGTAGTTTTAAATATTTTTTTACAAATAAATGACTATGGATTTTACCAACCTAAATAATAAAACCCATTACAAACCTTTCATGAATTTCAAAGATTTAAAAGTTGATCAAAAATATAAAATTACAGATATCAACACATTAAATTACGGAAATAGAATAGTAGTAGAAACAGATGATTTTAAATGTGTCTTACCGCCAAGATTCTACAATCAATTCATGAAAAATAATCTTCTAGAAACTTGCAAAGACTGTTTAGCCAATAATGATATCTTCATAACAAATACTGGAACTAATTTAAAATTTACTTAAAGATTATATCCAAGGTGTGTGATGGTAATAAAAACAATTTTCAAAATTCACTTTGTAAACCAAAGGTTTTATGTTGATAAATAGACTAAAAACACCTAGAACAACCGCTGAAATTTTCTATAATAAAAGAAATCACATAACTCCTGCAACAATAGACAAAAAAATTAACGCATCTGCTACAACGAGAAAAAGAAGGAAATTGTTGGTTTTAATAATTATATAAATATTAACAATAGACAACAAAAGGTGTTTTATTTTGTGTTTGAAATGAAATTATTAATTTTATCTATTTTTCCCTTACTCGGAATCCCGATTAAGGAAAATTTATTAAATTCTTTTATTAATTTTCCATTTATAAAAATTATCTTATAATTTCAAAGAGTATTTTATTAAGAATATTTAGTCGTCTTCATCAAATTCTTCAACAGATTTTTGATTCTTTTTAGTTAGTTCACTAATTATACCAACATTTATTAATATTTCCGTAATCCGTAATGGAATTTCTTTCATTTTTTGTATAGCTAAATAATCTGGATCAATATTATCATTCATAATTGAATTTTCACTATTAATATTACAATCACCTTCAAATCTGATTTTAAATTCTATTGTTTTATTTTTGTAATTTAATTTCCAAATAATTCCAAAAGGAAATAGAAAACTAATATGGTTTTTACGTCTTAAAATCTCATTAAACTCATTATTATATTCAGTGTTTTCAATAACTTTATAATAATTATTAATAAAATCATCAATAGATACACATTTATGTTTTGATTCTTTAATATAAAAATTTCCAAACTTTAGCATAATGGATGTATATCTTTCATGTTTCCCTAAAGTTGTGTCAATAAATTTATATTCAGAAAGTAATTCAGAAACTTTTCTGTTTTCATCAATTTCTGATTCTAGAAAAGAATTTATAATTTTCTTGTATAAATCTACAAAAACTTGACTAACTTTATTTAAATTAATTGCACAATTATATGTATCCTTAAATTTTAATATTGCAAAGCTTCCATTAACTTTACAAAGAGCTTTGATTTTTTCTTTATCATCTTCATATCGAATAGATCTCGAGTAATAGTCAGTTTTTTTTATTTTTTTACAATTTGAATCTAGTGAAATTTTAGATAAATCACAATTATTATCAGAAGAAATAATATCAAAATTATCTAAAACTTTAATAACTTCTTCAACATTTCTTCCATCGATTTTATTTGCCATGATTTATTACAAAAAAATTTTATCAATATTATAACAAAAAATTTAACTAATTTTATAACCATAAGGAAGTGTATTAATATTATCAATTAAATACCTTTTATCATCATAAGGTGAAAGAGCAATTTTATTTAATTCTGTTGTATATAATTTTAATTTTTTAGATGTAATATTATATACTATTTGATGATTTATTTCATTATTCATTAAACAATTCTTATACATTTCAAACTTAATTTTTTTAATATTACACTTCTTAATTCCTTTGCAGACTTTCTTTTCATTTATATCATTTCTAAACGCATACATCTTAGATCTTAGTCCAACAAATTCTCTTAATGGTTTTCCTAGATATTCATCTTTAAATAATCCTGGAACTTTTTTATTTACTTGAGGAATTCCGTCTATTAAATAATCTGATGTATCAAAATAATCTAGATTATTTTTTATATCTTCATAAATATCTTCTGTTTCAATAAATACTATAAATGAATCGGTATCTGTTGCTAGTAATTTTATTTTATCATT